CGTACGGCATTACGTACACGTATTCATGCATTAATCTATAATCAAGGTCTGCCCAGTATATTTCTTACTATAAATCCAGCCGACATTCACAGTCCTGTGGCATTATATTTTGCGGGAGTCAAGTTGGATTTAGATAACATTCAAATATCGCAACTGATGACTACTTACAAAAGAGCCGAAATTATAGCTTCTCATCCTGTTGCTACCGCAAAATTTTTTCATTTATTAATTTCAAATATCTTAAATACTATGATTAGTAATGGTGTTCTTGGGTCAATAAAAGCTTATTTTGGTACTGTTGAAAGTCAAGGACGAGGTTCGCTTCATTTACATCTTCTTATTTGGCTTGATCATGAAATGAAACCAGCTGATATGAAAGAGAAGATTCAAAATGCTGATTTTCGCGAAAAATTAATAGCATATTTAGAAGATATTATCAAAGAAGATTTGGATGAATTCAAAGATAAACATGTCTTTGAGAATTTAGACAGTATGGAATGTTTTGCTTTTATTCGAATATGGATTTCTGATTTTATATTGTAGTGACAAGAACATTCAATACTCCACCACGTTTATCACAAGATAATATTTATGCGGCCTTACGTACTATTGATTTGACAGGTTTAGGCGAAAATATAAATAAATCACCTGTTTGGTCAACACCAATCAAGCAACAACTTTCTTCGTCAACTCCTTATGCTTCACCTTCAATTCCTTACGCTTCTCCATTATGGAATAAATCGTTACAGACACCCACACGTGATGGACCAACATCTAGTAAGAAATAGAAGTAATAAAAAAGATAAAGTATAGATCATATTTTAGTTATGAATGTTTTACACAATCAATCAAACATAAATCCAGCTTGCTTACCAACTCCAAATCCATCATCGCCTAATTTTGCAGCACGCTTTCGTGCAGATGTGGTACAACTTGTGGAAACAGACAACAAGCACAAACATAGTGACACATGTTACAAGTATTGTGATCCTAAACAAGGTGACAAGAAAATTTGTCGATTGCTTATGCCACGTAAATTGGTGCCAGTCTCGACAATTGATCCTGATACTGGCCATATTTCTATGCGACGATCGGATCCATGGATTAACAATTTTAATGAATACATTATTTCGGCTTGTCGGTCCAACATGGATATTAAATTTATTTGGAGTGGTAGTGATGCAAAGGCTCTTGTTTATTATATTACCGATTATGTCACAAAGATGAGTCTCTCTTTTCATGATACATTTGCTCTTGTACAAAAAAGTATAACATCGTTCCAAAATTCATTGCAACAGACAAGCAAGGAAAGTGCAATCGAGAAGTCACGTAAACTCGTTTTACGCTGCTACAATACACTTGCTTCTCAACAAGAGCTATCTGGAGTTCAAGTGGCGTCTTATCTCATGAATTGGGATGATCATTACACAACACACAAATTTCAAAGTCTCTTTTTAATTCAAACTGAACGGTTTTTACAAGCTCAATTAAATGAAATATGTGCCAAACAAAAAATGGAACTTGCAGCGCACGGTGAGTACATTTATATCTGATTTCATGTTTTAAAAGTGTTTATACTTGATTAAGCTGTAATATAAAGGCGTTTGTGAGAAAAATAGGAAGAGTAGACGAATAATCGTACGTAGTCATTAGGGATACAAAATAAGTAAACTATTTGATCAGAAATTTACCTTCGAATTGAATTATAGATTGTTTTATTTGTCAAAAAGTATATTAAATCGAAACTAATGTATTGTTTGCATATGTAGATATAATCGACGATGATGTGTATGATGATGACGAGGCTATTGACAACGAAAACAACGACGAAGAACATTTTCAGATTCAATTGGCTGAAAACGACAAAAAATACGTACTCGTTAATACAAGAATTGATTACCAATATCGTTCCGACATTCTCAATGATATGTGTTTATATGATTTTGTCAGTGCATTATATAAGAAAAAAATGAATGCAACAGATCTGAAATATTTATCCAAGACTACCGCACGAGTGGAAGAAGACATTAGCGGAAAAGGTCGACCACCTAATGAACGCTTTCCTTTTCAAAAACAACATCCACAGGCATCGACACATCTGATGATAAAATACAGTGAACCTCATGTACCTATTCTTTACGGCCCACAAATTCCTCGACGAGATCGTGATGACACTCGAGAACGATATAGTCGAGCTCTTCTCACGCTCTTTGTGCCCTGGCGCACAGTTGCTGATCTCTGTGGTGCCAATCAAACATGGGAAGATGCCCTCAACTCTCGGCAACATCTTATTTCTGTACATTCGTGGAAGATCATA